AATCTCAGTGTTCTCATTTGGAGGTGCCTATATAAACCTTTAAAAATTTGGGCATAATTATAAAATTGAAGATTACTGTTTACATTTTAAAATTACAGTTTCAAAAATGCTAGTTCATAACTATGTTTTGATATTTGATACTTGCATGCAAAACAAAGTAAAATGTGAAGAAAATATTACGAGTATCTGTATATTTTAAAGGGACTTGAGCAAAGATGAATTTCATGGACATGCAGAAAAACAAGACATAGGAAAGCATATTTGGGAATGGAAATTTAAAACAGATCAAAAACTCAGGATTTAAATAAATGATAGCTATAAGCTTTTCATTATTATTAGAACTTTGACAAGTGAAACATCATTTAATTTTTATTAAATTATAGCAAAAGATAGTCTATTATATGTAAAATGTGTAATTTTATTTAAATAATTTATATACTAAATATTTTATTACATGAAGGATATATTCATTGTCAGGTTTCATTTTTAACTGTCAATTTATATTTTATATTTAAAATTTTAGCCTATTTGTCTCTGAAAACCTCTCCTGTATGAATCATAATCGTCAAAGTATGTGACAAATTTGCTAATCAATTAAAATGTGCTTAGTATTCCTTTCTCTCTCTTTTTTAAATAGACATGGACATGTACCAAACTGAAAATACAAAGTAATTCTGGTTCAGTACCAATATTAAGTATTTTTTAATGAACTATGTCATAACAATATTTAAAAAGTAAGTAGTTGGAAAACTATCATCACTGATGGTCTGAATGATTTGCATGTAAAAATTTAAATTATTCACATTCCAGGACACTAAAAAGTAACATTATTTTGCTATTTATATATATCCAAATATAAGTATGACCCAATATTGAAATAGTACAATTAAATTTGAATTGAAACTATATGGTAATACATTGGAAATATTTCTTAAAATGGTTCATATGCAAATAAGTGTGTTCAAAATTAACTAAAGTATTATTGAACCTTCAAAAACAAGTCATAATTCCATCCATGAGTTTGTTAAATTTAAAATTTAAAGACAAAAAATTCACCCATCAAACATTGGTTTGTAGCTTTCATTTTTTGAAACACATTTGTTTTTAATAAGTACATATTTATTTTATAGAAATATACAATATTTCTTCATTTTCACTGAGATAAGTAATTTAAAAAATCATTAGACATTTGCTATTAAACATACTACTATAAACATCACTTCTGTGAAATGACTTTGCTAATACCTAAAAACATCTGATATACTTTGCATTATGGAATATATCACTACATTTTCAAGAGTAAATAGATAAAGTCAAATTATTTCATAATTGCATTATAACATTTCATTTTTTTCTTTTTTTCTTTTTTTCTTTTTTTTGACAAGGTCTTGATATGTAGTTCAGGCTGCCCTTGAATTCACTAAGTAGCCCAGGCTGGCCTTGAACCTGCAGTAATCCTCTTGTTTCACCCTCCCAAGTGCCAGAATTAGCAGCATGCACCACCACACCACACCCAGCTTGCATTATATCAATTCTATCTGCAATATTTTTATTCTAATCATCAACATTTTTGTAAGAAATAAAAATTCAAGCTTAATTAAATTTAAATATTTTTGTTTTAAAATCTGTACAAAAATGACTTGTTTTAATTAACATGAGAAGTATTTGACCTGTGTAATAAGTTAATTGTTCTGCTAAAAACAGGAAGAAAAAAAAGTATCACATTATTCTCTTAAACACACTACACTGAATTCTTTTCTTTTTCACATCTAACATTCTTAAAACAGGAAGCATGAAAGGATAATTTGAAATTCTTGAAAATATTAGAAAAAAACCAAGCCTGGATGAAAATTACATATGTAATGTATCATAATCCATTTGTTTTCTATGACAAAAATATGTTACATATACTGATGGAAATACATATGAGTACTGCAGCTCCAAAAGACATGGCATTGATTATGAATTAATGGTAAAGATGTACAGCTACCAAATAAAATACTAATGAATATAAGGTTTAGTTTGACATAGATTTTAGAATATTTTGGCACATGACTGTTAGGCACAGAACTATTTTAATTTTATTGTCAAGTACTTGTGTTTGTAAAATAATGGGGCATTTCAAAGGGTTTGAGGAACACTATCCATAAGTTTGAGTTAATCGGACAACAATTTAGTTACCATTTGTATAATATTTTATTCCCTTTCAAAGTCAATTCAACAAAGAGTGCTTGTGTTTAAGTGTTTAAAGTAGTTTTTTTGTTGTGGCTAGTTCCTGTCATGATAAAACTTAGTCTTAAAAGTAATAGGAACAAAAATGTGCTTGGCCTTCAAGTATCTTAATTTGGAGCCATCTGGAAAGTACAGTAAGAGCATATTTTCAACTGAATTGAAAGCATGTTTGTGCTATGTTTCATTTTTGTTAATGTGGAGTCATATGATTTGCGGAACAATCCATTGAGCTCTAGAAGTTAAAGAGCCAGTTTTTGGCACTTCAAACAAGGCCTGAACTATATTCTCACTTCATCCTTTGTGCAATTGAGAAATAGTGATGAAATAAGAAGAGAGAAGGGATGAGGAGGCAGAGGGAAGTAATAGCATAGTAAAAGAAAATTAACCACGTTAACTGGAATAATTTTCCCAATATGCAACCTAGTAGCAAGAATAGCATTAATGTATAAGATAAGAATCTAAAGACACAGATTTGACATCCTTTTTCATATTATGTTTAGATGTTTTCACACAATAGTTTGATTTTCATGCTGAGATAGAAGAGCAGTGAAGACACTTACCAAAATTTTCTACTTTACATTTGTGAAGGTGATAATTTGTCCTAAACAAAAAAATGTGTTCAAGTATGGTACATAACGTATAATTTGAATTGATAAAATAGTTCAAATAATTTTGTATATAGGCATACAAATTGGCTAAATCTAAAGTATGGAATATATTTAATATATCTAAGATAATTTAAACATTCACACTATAGCCATACTGAAATGAAAATATTTTGTAATACCCGGAAGTATATTTAAATGAGATTATGCAACAAAGAAAACAGCACAAAGGTTACCTTTAGTTTGCACCTCCATTGTAATTGATGCTTGAATTTGCAGGTTTCTTTAATGCAATCATATACTACTGACATGCTCAGTCTGATTATTTATTCAATTAACAACCTAAACAATCAAAAACCAGGTATGCATAAGCACACAAACAAGATTCTACTGTGTATGTGAATGTATTGGAAGGAAACTATTTATGAGGAGAGAATAATTCAGTTTTTCATTCTATACAGTTTCAGATTATGATGTGACAGAAATTTTTCAAGTTTACTAGAACCAGGATGGGTTTACAGTTACCTTTTTAATATAGTTGGTAAATTTAAAAATTAAAAATAACTTTTGTTAATAAATTATAAAATGTTATTTTCCATCTTCAAAAGAGTTGGACATAAAGAAACAGTAAAGATAGAAACGGGACAGCTTATATGGGACAGATTATATGGCAAGATTATAAGAAATAGTACTGATTCAAAAATATGGAACATTTTGTAAATCTTCAAAAAATACATTGACAAAGTTTCTTTGGATATTATTTGTACTGTCTAGAAATATGTCTTTAATTTTGAGTAATTCTTACCTTTTTATCTTATGTGTTAAGAAATAAAGCTTAGTTACATGGAGGATTCAACTTTGAATTAATATTTTGGACTTTATAAAATACTGTTATATCTTTATATAATAACATTAAGTGGTAAACATTTTCCAAAAAAAATCATAACTAACAATGTAAAGAAAAATTAATAACAATCCCAAATGCAAAGTCAGATTCTAGTATTTAGTTGTTTTTTTTTTTCCTTTTCTAATCCTGGAGCTAATATAGAGGAGGTAGATGAAGAGCAAGAGATTCATTTTATTCTCATGATAAAATCATAGGATTTATTAAGCTTCTTTCTTTCTCCTTTGAAAATAAAATTGACAGAAAATGTGAAGAATATGAATAGTTTACTGCACTTGTTCGACATACCATTACATTTTTTAAAAAATTCTTTAGGGGAACTGCTACCACCAGTTCAATCTGAATTCAAGTAGCTACTGTCAATTTACTCATGGGTGAATGCTGCCTCTATGTGGCAGAATGCCATGACAATTGTTTCTTAAACACGAAGTTCATGAACAGCCCTTGATATTGTGCATATTCCAGGTGAGACTGTGGGGATATCCACCAAAAGAAATGAAGCAGGTGACTCTTTACATTTCAGATTAATGTAAACATTTTCTACCCTTAAAAATTAACCTAAATTCACTGGCAAAACTTATTTGGAGGTGAACAGCTTATACTCACTTACATTTTCAATATTTAGGACACAGGTCAACTTTAGGTGAAGTATCCATCATAATGCTGACGTTAGGTTTGTGTAGTTTAAAATATGGAAACTATTAAAAAAATTAAATTGAATAATACTAACATGACAAAATACACAATATTGAGAGAAAGTGAATATGGAGTACATTACTTACCATGCTCCTTGTATTAGATGAATACTTCAGTAAGGAAATAATGTAATCAAGTGAAATATCATAAATAAGCACATTAAATGGCAGCAGAAAAACATACTTCCCTGAACCAAGAAAAACATTAATTATACATATGTATATTTTGAAATTATTATAATTAACAGGAAAACTTTTTCTATTAGGAATAAAGTTTATGTAGTATATTTTAAATTGTTAATTATGAAGGTTCCACCAATCACACATAGCTAAGTCTTGTGCACCTCGAGTAATCATTACTTCAATCCCTCATATTTGACATAGTTATCAAGTGTTTATTCAGAAACTATTTAAAAAATTACATGTGCTGGGATACATATGAGACTGTAACAACAGTAGCCCCATCATACAGAGATCCTGTTTGTCATTATCATCATTGCTCGCTGCCCAGAGGGATAAAGACATTGTTGTATAAGACTTGTAACAGGCTGTCTTTTGGTCTTCTGAGGTGCCAGTACATGTGGATCTGTACAAATGCAAGTGGGTTTGGCTAAACAATTGAAACTCGGCTACAATAGTAGTCAAATCAATACACAGTTTTGGTTCACTAATAAAAATACTTTTAAATCTTCTCTAATAAAACCAAAATCTTGCACACAATTCTCTTGAATGGCCCAATTAGTCACCCTAACTTTTTTTCTTTTATACAGTGGGATACAATCAGTATAGAAAAATACAGGTTCAACTGAGTGGGTTGCATTGGCTTTTAAAGATTTTGCCATTAAGTGCTCCATATTTTTAATGATCTAAAATGCCTTCTGGATAATCACTTCAGTTTTGGAAACGCAGCTCCTGATAAAATGTGACACCTCTGCGAAAATCATAGGCTAAATAGTGAAGGAAAGAGGAATGCTAAATGTGCATATAAAAATAGGTGCTACAATAAAATATTTGTATATTTCATCAATAAGTTATTTTGACTAATCAATTATGGATCATATAGCTCTGTAATTTTAATGATTTGTCCACATCTCTAGTGATCCTTTTCTGGATCACAATATTTTTGTTTTTAATTCAAACGTCCAGAATGCATACAAACACATCCTTTAGAAACAAAGGAAAGGAATAAGGAAGGTGGGAAGGAAGGGAGGAGGGAGAGACACCAAACTTCCTATTTAGATTGGGATGTGCTAACCTCTCCACCAAAGCCATTTAGACCCACCCCTGGCTTACAGAGGGAGAAAGGGGGAGGGGGACAAGAAGAAGAGTAGAATCTGTGAGTTGACATTTTCCACCATTCATAGCACTTCCAACCACTACAAAAATGACTGCGACCTTTAACAAGTCACCCTCTCAGCAAATCTCCCTCTGTAAAGCCCTTCTCCCCCACCCCCACCCCACCCCCCCACACACAAGAAGAGAAAGTGATGTGCCCAGTTTACATAAATGTTTCCCCCGTGGAAAATTAAAAGGAAATTGCACACCCTTTCAGTATCTTCCGTCGAAGCTGAGAATCCCGTGCCAAGGCACTTCACCCTAAACGTTGAAATGACACAATCGAATGTGTTCACCGCGTGTGTCTGCTCGCTTGTTTGTTTTAAACGCAAAAGCTCCAAGGGAGTTTCTTTGCTTTTACAACTGGCTAAATGTGGTCTGTTTTTCCAGCACTTCGAGGTAGTCCGGCTCAACGTTTAGTTTTGCTTTTAACTCCAGATACTCGTTCCGGTTGGGTTCTACAAAGACAGCACTCGGGGGGCTGTAGAGCACCGGTTCCCGCAGCCTACTGTCCCCAGCCCCCGGGTGCAAATACTGATGGGGGCGTCTCAGGTCATAGTTAGGGGAGAAGGTGTAAGCAGCGGGGCTGCACGGAAATTTGGGGTATTCGGGGAGGCTACTGCCGGCGGGGGTGGTGGAGCAGAGTTTGTCTGGTTCTAAAATGCCCCTGTAAAAGCGGTCGGCGTCCTGCACCGGCGACAGAAGGTCCTCCCGGGGCTCGATGGTGCTGACGCTGTAGGCGGGGCTCCGCAAGTGGTGGCTTTCCCGCCTCTCCTCCTCCGCGGGCTGCAGCTGCAGCTGCGGCGGGGGCTGCGGTTGGGGCGGCGGCGGCGGCGGCGGCGGCGGCGGCGGCTGCTGCTGCAGGTGGTGGTTGCTGCTGTAGGTGACCTTGAGCTCGTGCAGGTCTTTGTAATCCTCCACGGAGTTTCCTTCCCGGGACCGGTAGATGGGGTTTTTGCACATGTGGCCCAGAGGATGAGGGATGTACTCGTACACGTGGCCCGCGGGCGTCTTCACCTTGGGCAGCGCGGGCCCGCGGTGGTGCACGCGCGCGTGGGGGTGGCCGCCCGCGCCCCCGCCGCCGCCGCCGCTGTACACGCTGTACTGCATGTTGAAGGAGCTCACGTCGGAGTTGTTGGTGCTGGTGTGGTCGCTCTGGTTCTTCTTCCTGCGCTTCATGACCAGTACAAAGAGCCCAGCGGCCACGAAGACTGACATTATGAAGACCAGGAGCAAGCTGAGAATCAACACAGACAAGGGTACAGAAGAAACCCCTCCGCCTGCGCCCAAGCCCGCGGGGGCCCCAGTGCTGGTGCTGTTCAGCCGGACGGCAGGGGTCACGGCGCTGGTTCTGGAGGGGACTTGGATGGAGGAGGGCGTGGGTGTTGAAACCACCACATCTGAATAGTCTGGGCACAGCGACTCTGACTTAATGGATCGCATGTCAGTCTCGGCGAATTTCTTGGGTGCCTTACAGATCACCTCGTCTACTAGGACCCCCACTTTGAGCTGCTCCACCCACAGCTTCATGCCCACCACCTCGCAGGTACAATCCCAAGGGTTGTCATGTAAATCGATTTGAATGAGTGAAGTTAGCTGGTCCAAAACTCCACTCACTGGCAAGGAGCTGAAGTGGTTACTCCTCAGGTTCAGCCTGAGGAGGGTCAGGCCAGAGAAGACTCCAGAGGGCATGGACTGCAAGAGGTTGTTATTCAGGAAGAGCAGCTGGAGGTTTGGGACTGGATCAAAAGTCCCAGCCTGGATCTCGCGTATGAGATTGTATTGCAGGAAGAGATACTGCAGGCTCTGCAAGCCGTAGAATAACTCTGGGCTAAGCCTCTCAATCCTGTTGCCATTTAGGTAGAGGCGTCTCAAGTTGCTGAGATCCCCGAAGGCACGGTCCTGGATCATAGAAATGCGGTTGTTACCCAGGTGCAGAAGGTCCAGCCCAGTGGCCTCCAGGAAGTCTGTCCTGCGAACGACAGCAATGTAGTTCTCTGTCAGATACATTTTCTTGGGATTGTAGGGCTTGGGCTGCAGCTCAGCTATGCTTTCAATCTTGCGCTCCTGGCAGTTGACATTGAGACCCAGATCAGAGATCTGCAGGTTGCAAGTGCATGCGGTGGGACACTCCAAAGGCACCGGGGATTTGGTCTGGTAGGCAATGCTGGGGCCATAGTTACTGTAGCCCAAGTCCTTAGAGGGCTGCCTAGAGGTGGGGCGCACTCTGGGCTTGTTGGGTTGGCGGGTTCCCTTGGGGGGCTTCAAGGGGGGTTTGTAAACAGCAGAGGAAGAAGTGGCCACGGAATTCACTGAGGCCGGGGTGGTGTGTAAATACCCCGTGGTGCTCAGAGGTGTCTGTGGCCTCATCTCGTAGTCTGAAATAAGTTTTCTAGGGCAAAGTTCCTGCTTGGATATCTCATCCAAGTCCCTGCCATGTAAGCGGAAGGGGGTCTCACAAACCACATCCCCCACCAGGGCCGAGTAAGAGATGCTGTCCAACCAATCTTTGAGAGAGATCAGCTCACAAGAGCAATTCCAGGGGTTTTCCTCTAGCTGTAACTCCACAACTTTATCCATGTGCTGCAACAGCCCCAGGTAGGGAAGAAGTTTCAGCCGGTTCCCCCGAAGGTCCAAGTGCGTTAAGGGCACAAAACGGAAAAGATTGTTGGGTAAACTTGACAACAGATTGTCATTGAGGATAAGCACTTGCAACAAATGCAGTTTCCCAAAAGCATTGGGTTCAATGACACTGATGTAATTGTAATCGACCTGTAGATATTCCAGGTTCTCCAACCCAAGGAAGGTATCATCTCTCAGAAGTTCCAGTTTATTGTTGTTCAGATGCAATCTCCTCAGACCCTGCAGCCCATGGAAAGCCCCAGTCTCAATGTCTTGGATAACATTGCTACCCAGATGCAAAATTGAAGCCCCAGTGTAATTGACAAATTCATTAGGATAGAGACGGTTCAAAAGATTTCCAGACAACAAGAGGTGATAGCTTGGGAACCGGGGAGGGCTAATTTCAGAAAGACTAATAATCCCCCGGTTTTCACAGCTCACAGTTAAAATGCCATCCTTTTCCTCACAAGGACATGCATTGTCACAGATTTCCCCATAATAATCGATGGTTTCTGCACATGAGAGGACGAGAGATGTCACAGCAAACGCTAGAGTCTGCAGCATCCAGCTATGCATTTTTCTGTGAAGGTCCTGTTCCAAAGTTACTGGGATACAGCAAGGGTGCATTTTACCTCCTGCAAGGGAGAGAGGAAACAAGGAGACAACAGAATATGACAACATTTAAGGGATTAATCAGAAACTCTGTCTCTTCCCGCATACTTTCTCTGAAATCTAGGAGGGGATATGAATGGCAATCCCCACCCCCACCCCAGTGGAACATCAGACAGTTTCCAGACTTTATTAAAATTTGATATTCATTTTGATCTAAAGGTTCATTTCATTTTCTAATGAGCATGCCATCAATGTGCTGCTCTTCACAAGATGAGGGCAGATAAAACCTCTTTTTAGTTTTCTACTCTGCTCCCCCCTTTACAAAACCAGTCCATAAATATACATAAAATGGCTGTCAGTTCAGTTTTACGCTTCTAATTTAAGAGAAAAGAAACATCATTTTACAAGGTTCCCCTCCTCACCTACATCCAACCTCCCCCCTTTCTTTCAGAATCACTTCACTTTAGCAACAGTTCACCATGAAGGGCTCCCTTTTCCCCAGAAAGCAAGGAGCCCCAATACTTGGGCTATTTTAAACCATTGAAAGAAATGCCAGGATGGGAAACTAAAAGAATACTTTCCAGAGGCAAAAACGATGCAAGATAATCCATCAAAATGAGTCAGGACTAGCTCTTAAATTTCCAACACCAATTGTCCTCCAGAGCGCTGAGTAAGGAGAGAAAGGAGCGCGAGTTGGCTTTGATGGTGGACCTCACTACCACGCCATTAAGCACATCAGCGTCCTAATTGCATGCACGGTGCCACTTAGCAGCGCTTCCCCGAGAGCGCCCTGCCACCACTTCTCCTCATTGATCAGGTCAGCGACGGCACCAAACCGCATCTCTAACCACTGAAATAGTTCTGCACGATGGATTACAAGAACTCAGGGCAGGCAGCCGCAATCTCCAAACGCCTCTGAATACCTTGAGTTTAAAGAAGGCATTCCTACCGCTCACCCGGAATCAACTAAAAGTAACCAAGGACCAGCGCCAAAGCCTCCCTTACCTCGGGCTCCGCGTCTGTTTGCCACGGTATGCAAAACTAACCCTACTGAATTAGCAAGATTTGGAATGATGTACCACCTCGCCAGCCAACATCTCCATCTTTGGAGTTGCTTATTACATTTAATTGTCAATGCCTCCCCCCATCCCCCCCCCCAGGAAAGGGGTCCTGGGGTGATTGAGAAGAAATAGAAAGGTGGAAGGGAGAACAGCAAGTGACATAGGTCAGTGTTTTAATACCCGAATTTCATCTTCCCAGTGAATCATTCCCCCCTCCCCCTTCGCTCTCTCTCTTTTTGTTGCCTGGAAGGCTTCTTCGGACTTCCTACTTCTGGTCGAAAACAGCACTCTTAAAGGAAGGGCATAAAGGGAGCGAGTGTGTGAGTGCTTGTTGCCTTGGTTAGCGGGGCAGCAGGAAGGGAGAGGTGATAAATGCTGGGCTCTGGGAACCAATGCTTTTTCTCCAGTCAGCCTTGGTTTTCCCTCACCAGCAAAGTCGGGTGTCAAACCGCAACCCAGAACTAAAGCTAGGACGTTTCTCAGACACAGGTTCTAGCCTGGAGACCTTGCTCTCGATCCAAGTGGACTCCAGCCCGCGGTATAAAAAGCGCCTGCATTCACACGCACATGTGCAAGTGTGCCTGCGAGTCGTTCACGTTTGGCCACCCAGACGTGTCGAGACGAATCGGAACACAGTGCATAAACCTTGCTAGTATCTCCCGACCTCCCATCACCACGGTCGAAGACTCCCGGCTTCAAACACCCCCTAGGAAAGCAAAACGTTTACCTTGAAATTTCGGATCTCCGCTGGATCAAATGTGCACATCCATTTGGCTGGGCTGGGTCCCCTCCCCCTCCCTCCTGGTGCTTCCCCGCCCCCATTCACCTCCTTCCCCAGCTGAGAGCCCATTGCAAATTGTGTCCAGCCCGGATTAAACTCGAGCGTTTACAACTTTAATTCACTTCTGGTTAGCAAGGGTTGAAGAGCTTCCTCTCGCTCCACTCCCTCTCCCCTCCTTCTGGCCATCAAAGGAGACCGAAAATTTGAGCAAATAAAGTTGAATGAGCCCGGGAAGGCTGACATTCTGACTGGAAAACGCACCACCGATGTAAATTCGCGGGTGCGCGGCACATCTTCAGATTAAATATTTTTGGAGGGTGGGGGCGGGAGGATTTTATACCACCCCTTAAAGAAAAAAAGAATCGAGACCCTGGATGGCTGCCTGGCACCTCCCTGCATTAAGCAGCACGGAGCCTCTCGCGCTGGAGCCCAGCACCCAGGCCTGCCCGGGCTCCGGGCACAGCTGCCGAGTGGTCGCACAGGCGCAGCCCCCGGAGTTCCAGGGCGCGAGGCTCCCCTCCCCCAACCCGCCCCGAAGCGAAGGAAGGGTAAAGGGAGAAGGGGAGGGAGGAGAGGGAAAGCAAGCCAACCTGCTACACACACACACACACACACTCACACACACACTCACACGCGCGCACACACGAGCCTCTGTTGCAAAAGTAAACGACAGACTTACCCCGTCTCACATCTTCGGCCCACTCATCCTAGTCACCCTTGAAAAAAAAAAAAAATGCCTCTTTGGGGTGTGCGCCTGGTTTCTGAAGCCCAGGCAGAGGAAGAAGGCGGCGGGCACTGCGGGGCTGAGCCTCTGGAGCAAAGAGGCGCCCGGACTCCGGCAGCCCCGAGCCGCCGCCGCGGTGGTGACCGCGGGTTCCGGGGCTCCCCGAACGGCTCTCCCCAGCGCGCTCCGCGGTCGTCAGCGCGGGCCGCGGGTGGGGGCGCGGGGGAGACCGCGAGCCGAGGGATGGGAGGCGCGGGGGAGGGGTGCGGGGCCGGCCGGAGAGGCGCCGCGCAGTAGGGGCGGGGCGGGAGGAGGGGGACGCGGAGAGGCTGCCCGGCCCCGCGGCCCCGCCAACGTGACGGGCAGCCCTGCCGAGCGCTCGGGCCACTCACACGCACGCCGCCTCGCACACTCGCTCCCACCCCGCGCCACGGCGGCGCTATCGCGGGGTCCCGGGAGCCCCCCTGGCGCACCCCCGGGCGGGTACTTACAGTTCCCATCTGCAGAGGGGGCAACTTTCACCGACCCCGCGGTGGCCGCCGCCCCCTCCAGCCTGTTCGGGCGCCCGGCACCCTCCGGCCTGGGTTCACGCTGGCCTGCGCGCCCCTCCCCCGCTCTGGGCTCCGCTCAGTCTTCACCACATTGCCCCCAGCTCAGCGGCGAGCGCCCGGGGAGCTGCCGGAGGGAGCGGGGCGCGAGGCTGAGCACGCATCGCAGGGCTTCTTCTTGCAGCGCACACTGTACATGGTAGTGTGGGGGCGAGAGAAGGTGGCACTGGCCCCTGGGCTCCTCCAGCGGCGGCGGCGGAGGCTGCGACTCCTACGCGGTCCTCCGCCTCCCGCGCGGCGACCACCGCGCTGGGCTCCCGCCGCCGCTGTCCCCAGCCTAGCCCGCCGCCACCGCGGCCCCTAATTAGTATTTGCACGGTTCCCGCATCCTCTTGGCCGTTTCGTCGCTCTCGGCGTCTGCAGGGTTTGTTCCTCTCTCCCTTCCCCAGATGCGGCGCTCGATCGTCATTATTCGGAGCTCTGTATCTCCGACCTCCTTCGGGGGTCTGAGGGGCTGGAGTAGCGCTGCTCTACGCCTGTGGCGCGTCCTGGCAGCCCGGAGGCTCAAAAAAACTCAGAGAAAGTCGCGTCTTCTCTCCTGGGCGATGAGGAGGTGGCAGCACGAAAAGCATCGTCCGGGTCTCTGAGACCTCTGCTCCGTGGCCGGCGCTGGGCCAGTCCGGTGCACTTGTTTATTGTCGCGCTGCTGGTGCGAGCCACGCTGCCGCAGACATGATGGGCCCGGGGCGAAGCAGGCACGCGGCGGCCGATAGGTGGCAGCCAAGAGCGCGAGCCGCGCTGGGCTCCAGAGGCTCAGCCGGAGCCCCCCTCGAATGTCACATCCTTGGGAGACAGAGGAGTCTGGGACCATGTGCGTAACGCGAGCGTGGGAGTGTGCAGTTCTCGTATTGGAGAAGGGAGGAGTGGAGATAACCCCGACAGTGCTAGGCTTGGTGGTGGGGGTCAGGGGCAGATGATTCCAGCCCAGTGCTGCCCGCTTGCTGCTTGCTCCCTCTTCCATTTAGAGTGGGAGAGCCCTTGCTGCCGTCTCCCACAACACTGTAGAGGACCCTGGAAGAGGGAGTGGTTCGTTCTAGCTGTAAAGAGGGAGCTACTTTTATTTTTAAGAGTTACGTTTTTATAACTATGTTTGGGCAGTTCAAGGGAATGTGAACGACTTTCAGAAAAAAAATGGTTTGTGAATGCACTGGGAATGAACTAGAAGCTGGAAAAGCCCTAAATAGAGGCAGTCTCAATAGAAAGCGAGTTTCTTCAAGAGTCACCTGCTAAACTTCACTAGCTTCGTCTCTACAGTAAGTATTCCTCGATCTTTCCATGAAACCAGACATGTTCCTCCCCAAAAGGAGGCCTTCACATTTCTGTGTTTGGAATATCAGGCCTGCAGTCCATCCCGAGTACAGAAGAAACCTTTGTCATAATAAGTGACCAAGGCAGCCAGAGTGCACAGTGCCTGTCCCTGCCACAAGTAGGTAGTTTACTTTGTGGAGGGATTTTGGTCTATCTTACTTTGGAATCAATTAGGCCTTAAGTATAACTGATATTGTCTGATTCTTAGTAATATTTGGGATAATATTGTGGTTGTATTCTGATTACCCATAACAATTAATAGCTATTCAGAGATACTGTGTGTATAGATAAATCCATTTATGTGATGTATGTGTTTCTATATATGTTCATATATATGATATATATCACATCTTTCCACATCATCTGTATATGTTCAATTAAGAGTTTTCTAGAGGAGATAGATATTGAAGTCTCCTGAGGTTTTGTAACATTTTGAAAATTATCGTCTGCATCTGTTGTGTAAATATCAAGTTAAGCCATAGGGTTTTTAAAAAATTTTTTTTGGAAACAACTCTGTTCTGTGTAAGCTGTAGTTTTGTTAAATGGAGATGGAAAGAAGTAATCTGTGATGTCAGATAATAAAAATAAAATCTTATAATAGAAATTCCCATTAAATTTAGAAACAGCTGCAGGCTACAGGTACGATATACAGAAAGAGCTTAAATTTTACCCATCAAACAATTGTTACTCTATTTGTATTTATCTTTTTATAAGATATAAATGCTAAGAAAAATAATTTCAAGAATAAATTGGTTTTATCTTTTTTAAATTAAAGTATAATATACAGTTTGAAATTACACATTAACCAACAATAATTCCTTCAAAATATCAATGTTGAGTCCCATTGGAAAGTTTTTAATATTTATTAACTTTAAAGAAGTCTTGAAAAGTTATAGAGGTCTGAATAAATTATTACACTTCACCAAGTAGCTATTATATTTCATTATCTTATTACTTTTCCCTAAATCTTCCCAATTTCTTTTAATAACAAAATTTAGTTTATTTTGGATTCCAACATTTTATTATATTTCTATTTTAATATTTACTGCCTTAATTTAAAAACAAAACAAAGAGTATTGAATATTTTTCGGATTAATTTAGCTTGTAGGTTTGTTAGAAACATTTATACTATACTAGCATTCTAGATTGCTTCTTCTGGTTCAAATAAATGAATGATGAAAATTGTCTAGCATTATTTCGGTATTAAGGATGGTTCACTATTTACCACTAGGTGTCTCTGTAAACTGCTCTGCAGGAAAGTGAATTTTGAGAAAATATTGTGACATAAAGATACTAGAATAGAATACAGGAGGAACTATATCATAGAAATGAGGAAAATCTTCAATTTTTAGTCTGTATATTTCTCTTTGCTTTGAATATTGACTAGTGCCTAGAGAAGACATAAATGAATCACATGCTAGTGATCAGATTTGAGCCGAGACTTTCACTCACATGAACAAACATGTCTGTTTTGGCGTGTATTAAGCCACATGTGTTCATGTTTTCTCATACAGTATTTAAGTAAACATAAATACTTACATATTTGGGCACTAGAAATTTATCAACTAGATCTTCCCACAATTAAGGTTATTAATGGTAACTAAGCAAAATTTGAGCTGGATATGAAAAGCTGGGAGACTTTATCCAAATGTTTGCAGATATATTAGGGATATTATAATTAACACATGAACTAGTACTATCACAAATATATACTGCATATTGAAACACACTTGACAGTAAGTAATCCAAATTTTGGCCATACTTCATACTTCCACATTAAAATTTAAATTTAAAGCATAAATAGCACACTTTTCTATTGAAATTTACCATATATTTTTGTAAACGCATTTGTATCATTTTAAAGAAATATTGTTTTATTGCCTTTTGAATGTTTTGGAGTTTTACATTAAATGCATTTCTGCAAGTGTTTCCTTATGTAATATTTATATATCATAGTGTAACACCTCTCAAATATTAAAGCTCTGAGTCCAGAATTATAGACCCTCATGAGGTAACCTAATGAAAATTATAAAGAGGAAAATTCTAATTGTGAGACTTTTATAAGTATGAATCAATCTTATTGAAATCTAAATCCAGTAGATTTTCCATTGTTTTTTATTAACTTAATTGATAAGTTGTGATTATGCCATCCTAAATGCTAGATTTCAGACTTCCCCAAAACCAGTTTTAATAAGTTACATTTGTCATAGTAAAGACTAAGAAATCAGTGCCTCTCAATTTGGGAAAAGACAGACTTTTAAAATTAAGTTGAAAGGTATTTGTGTCTTAAGTCATTCAAATGAAGTTCTATATACCATATACCTCTAGAAAAAGAAATTAATGCTTTACTCTTGAAGGAGAGAAATGAGCCATCCTTTCTGATTGCCTCAGTACACAGTGGGTAAACTGTAAGGCACATATCTTTGAAGAGTCTCTCATATTTGGCATTATGACAATCAGCCATAAAATGAAAAAATATCTCTCAAATCCAAAATTGTGGGGAAAAGTGAATAAGAGTACTGAGATCACTTGTAAAACTAATTAATTATTTGTTGTCCTCCAAATATGCATCAGAGACATAACTGAATTATGAGCATAAATTAGACAGTTTTCTTCCTTACCTCATACAATTCTTTGTGTATACATCCTCAGAGATTTTGGTAATTTATATATTAACATATACTCTTTGGAAGGAAAATTGGAAATATCTCCTAAAATTTAAAAGGCATGTATCTTTTGGACAGTTGCTTTTCCTGAAATGTGCTCACAGGTGTAAAACATACAAAACAATATATTGAAAGATAATCATTGTAACAGATTTTACATTTGAAAATTACTAACAGTAACTTAAATGATTAGATGAAAAGTAGTCCACAGCCATCTATAATTTAGAATATTCTTCTACATTAAATAACAGGCTGTATACCAATACTGTGGTGTCATTAATAGAGTATATAGCATCAAATATATACACTGAAGAGAGTGAAGAAGAAAGGGAAGGTGGAGGGAAAGAGCGAGAAAGGAGAGTGGATAGGAGGGAAAGGAGAGAGAGAGGGGAGAGAGATGGAGAGCAAGAGAGAGAGAGATAGAGAGAGAGAGAAAAAAAAGAAGGAAGAGGGAGATGGAGAGATCTAGTACTGATGATTACTTCTTGGAAGGAGAATCAAATTCTTGAGTGGAGTGGAGGTGTGACCTTTTATCAGATACTCTAGTTGTTATTCCTTGAAAATTTCAAATTATGCACATTTACAATGAAAATTTAAAAAGGAATATATTTGATAAATAAGGATAATATTTGGAAGAATGAATCAAGATCTCATGAGAAGATTTTCTATAGATTAATTTCTATCACAGTTATCTAAAATTTTACTCTATTATACATTATATATTATCAATAGATACTGAATATGTTTCTAAATCTGAGTGTAAATTAGTTAAATGATTTCTCTTAATAATTCTCTTATATGACATTCAATTTTGGCACCAACTTCAAATAATAGAATAAAAATCAATACAATCAACTTTCCATTACATTCACTCAACATAACCATGCTGTCTTCTAGAAACATTAGGTTTATTTGAAATTCTGATGGGTAAATGGGTCTGTAGAGAAGATACTTGATAATATTTCAAATATTCAGTAGTAGTTCTTATTGCCAGCTACATCCAGATGACTGAGTGTGTAATTGTGACATATTTTAAATATACAAACCCTGCTAAAACTGAAGCTGATGCCCTCTAGTTAATGATAACATTGAAATATTCACATTCCACTAGAAAAGAGAAAGCTTCTTTACATACTTAGACTTGCTTTTCTATGTATTTATCAATTAGAATTATGACTAGCTTCTTGGGACCCATTGATTCTTGGTTCTCACATAACTTTAGTCATTTTTAGAAATCGAATCCAAACAGCCATTAAATTATGACTGTGTTTTGGAGTCCTTTCTATTACTTTAAAAGAAAAATAATCATCCTAAATCATGTATTCATCAGAAACATTTGCAGTTTTTTAGATGAGCATGTCTACATTGATTTACAGTATTTGACTTCATCCATTGGAATCATTTGTCCATCAGGACACACTCATAATCTCTCTATTCCCTCAAAACAATCAGCCTTCCCTTTAGCTCTGAAACTGTTTTTTTACTGCTCTTTCATCACAGAGTTTTGCACTTTCCTTTTATCTGTTGTTCCACAGAATTTCATGTCAGGCTCTTCCCCATCAGAGAAATCTTCAACTTTGAAGGCTTACTCATCTTAATATCTTCTTGCATTGGATATCACTTGAT